CCCCCCCCCCCCCCCCCCCCCCCCACAGGCCCGGGCAGCTCCAGTCGTGTGCCACCGGGACTCCCACGCCTCCCGGAGAAAGAGAGCACTGTGGACTCAGCTGCCCGGTGCCCCAATAACTGTCTTTCCATCAGAAATAACCAAATACAGTGGGGGAAATAAGTATTTGACCCCTTTGCCGATTTTGCAGGTTTGCCCACTTACAAAGAATGCTTATTTTTCCTCATCAGATGCTTATCAATTTCTATAAATTCATATGATGTGATTTTCTGGAATTTTCTTTGGGATTCTGTCTTTCACTGTTAGAATGTACATATGATTAAAGTTATAGATCGTTGCATTCTTTGTAAGTGGGCAAACCTGCAAAATCAGCAAGGGGTCAAACACTTATTTCCCCCACTGTAACTGTCTTTCCATCAGAAATAGCTTTTATGGTTTTTTTCTGCTCGTTCAGATGTAAAGGACATCATAACCAGGACAAGATGGCAGCTATTGATATTTTAACCCTGTAATGCCAAATGTATCATATCTGATTCATACGGTTTCTGAAATGTTTTGCGTCTGACACCTTTTGCTTAAATTAATGGTAAAAACTTTGCTCAAAATCCTATTTTACACAATCAGATACACCTGATAACAGGGGGCAGAAGACTACACAAAAGATAATCTGGACTTATCGCATAGTAATAAATTATTAATATCAAAAATGTGTTTCTGTTTTTCTTTTTACATATTTTGTTAAAAGGCCAAATAAGGAGTTCAAACAAAAGAAAAGTCATTTTCTGTTTTGTTTTTTTCCTGGATCAGGCTTTAAAGGGTGAAAGGGTGTCTGACATGAAGCCATGCATCTATAATAATGGAAACCAATGCTCCAAAGTGCGCTTTAATCTGAGGAAGATGGATAACACCAGAGTCTCTATTATCAGGGGCAAGTGGGCCAATCATATCCCAGCAAGGACTTCCTAATCGGACCGTTTTCGAAAAATGAAAACCTGAGATTTGTGGGAGAAGGCCAACATCTTGGGCCAGACTTCTTCCACGGTTGCTGTTCACACTTGTACATGAGGGGGTCGGGGGCTTTTCTGTTGGATAACATAAAGACCGGGAGGCAGTCCAAGTCTCACAGAAAGCACAAAAGCAAAAAAACAAAACATGGAGAGCTCCACATGTGTCTGAACGTGATCGATGAGCTGTGAGCAACAAACAACCAGCCGCACATTAACCAAAACTTTCACACCCAATGATGTCAAAACAGCTCCGATTTGGAGTTTAAACATAGAATAAGAGGAAAAAAGACAAGATATCTTCTTTGAATGTGAGCCCCGTCTGGTGGCTCCATCCCATTTGTTCCTTTAACCAGTCAATGCTTGTTTTAGTTCATTCTATTCTGCTCAATTTGTGTCCAGATGCCCGTTTATTTCAGTTTAATGTGTAAAACATCAGAGGAACATCATGGCTATGACATGGAAAAGGCCAGTTAATGTTAATATCCTTATCAGCGAACACCTCATTAGGCCTCATTAGGCCTAAATTTCCATCCTTTTCTGGATGTTTTCCTAATAGGAAAGAATGATAATGTGTCTGTGTGCAGGAACCCGTTTGGTGACACACAGGTGGAACATTAACTGGATGCTTAAAACAGCTCCAAAGCAGTAAATACCCCCAGCCCTAAGGGGTTTGAGATAAAGGTGAACAGGAGATTAGATGGGAAAGGCTCTCAATCCATGAGTCATGATAAATATAAGGGAATTTACACCCCTTGTAATAAAAGTCTATCTTTAAACACCACACATGTTCAGGCGGCTTTCCCTGAATATTCATTTCAAGTAAAGGAGCAAAAAACCTGGATTTCAATCGAAACTTTAGCCCTCAAAGTACATATGACATCGGTCCCACACATTCATAACTTATAAATACAGAGAATTGAGTGTCTCCTCTGCTTTAGATGCAGAAAACCTTTATTTTGAGGCATTTTCCAGCTTTTTTCTGTCTGCATTTAAATGATGGAGCACAGCGCGGTGCCCAAAGCTGGACTCAGATCCATCCTCAGAGGCTAAAAGCGTAGCGGCGAGGGGGAGAAAATCACAGGGCTCCACGTGCACGCGCGTGCACGTGCGTGTGCTCGCGACACAGAAAGAGAGGAGCAACAGAGAGGGAGGAGGAATGTCAAACACCAACAGCATTCCTGTGTTTCTCCTTGCGCTGCCTGCAGCCCTGTTGCATTGTGCGCGCCTCTTTTGTGTGGCTGCTCTGTTCACAGCTCACCTGGATCCAAAAAGCCTTAGATAGAGAAGCCCGGGAGCCACCGCAAAAACACAAAAACCATCTCTGGTGAAGACCCCATCGGCCAGATTACCTCAACCCACCAAGATCCAGCATCCAAAGTCCACTTAAGATGGATCAAAGCAGCATCATGACCACCAAACCCCCCCCCCGGTCTGATGGAAACCCACCTAAAGGCTCCTATCTTTTGACTCTGAGGCTGCTCAGACCTTGGGCAAAGCAAAAAATAGGCACCACCACAAATTATATCACGCGGTTTTAATGTTTTGGCACATCTGGGGCTATCTGATGCCAACTTCCTGTCAGCAGAAGCCGAGTCTAGAAAAAAAGGGGCCCGGGCAAAGCTTCAGAAAATCCAAACGACTACTGGTTTGTGCCTTCTGGAGGAGGTTATATATTTGCAGTTGGAGGCTGGAAACCAGAGGATTTTTGGACGTGCAGATGCATTCCTCTGAGCGGGGACCGTCCCCTGAACGGCAACTCATGCGTAATTGTCAACAGGTGCTTTCATGGTTGTGTTAAAAGCACAGATTACGACTTTACAACACACACACTCAGCACGTGTGTGTGTGTCTCTTTTAATTCATCTCATTTCCAAATAAAGCCAAACTCATTTCTCTGTGAACCAGAAGTTTGACCCCAACTCTGACTTCTTTGTGGTTGAGAACCTGAGACACTCTGTCTGGTTTTGGGGGGGTGAGGGGGGGGGGCAGTTTCCTACCGTTTAAGTATAATCCAAACCAGCATTTTCTACCCAGTCAGCCATTCAACACATGAGTTAAAAGCAGGTTAAGAGTCCGTTTTGAATTCTTTCTCCAGCTCTTGCTGTTCAACATCTGGGCAGCTGTGCAGAAGGCCCGGATGACCCCCACGGAATCAGGGCAAACCCCCCAAAAAAGCAAAAAAAAAAGCCGGACAGGGGTGCAAACGCAAACTCTGATCAAACGACCCTATTAAAGCTCCCACGGAGTCGCGAGCCCCCACGTCACGCATCTCCTCGCGCGCGGATCCACTCCACGGCCGCGCGAGCCCGGCCAGGTGCCACGGAAACCAAAAGAGTTCAATAATTCAAACTACACGCCAAATATTAAGCTTTTTTTTTTAAATATATATATACATAAACAGCCGAAGAAAGTCCGGACACACGCGCGCGTGAGGAGATGCGTGTTATGATGGAGCCGCTTCTGGCCAACAAAAAAACACCCGAACCGGAGTGGAAAAACTTACCCAGGGAAGGTTGGACGAAGCACAGGACAAAGGCTAGTAACCTGCCCAGGGAGAAACCGGGGACGTGCTCCATGTTCTCCGTAAAATCCACATAGGGTCGCCAGCCCGGAGTTGCGCCGTCTCCCTTTTACGCTCACTTCTCCTCCAAAAAAAAGTCTCCGGAACAAATAAAAAAAATAAAAAACGAGGTTTCGGAGCTTTTAAAGCAGCTCTCCGCGGAGCTCCAGGGCTCCACGAGCCGTGGCCGTGCGGGAAAGTGGGTAAAAAAATCACAGAAATAGGCTTTCCGAAGAAACACACCACGGCTGGAGGAGTCTCGCACCTCTTCACGCGCCCCAGAAGTCACGACGAGTGAGGCGAAAAACGCGTATCCTTCCGCCTAAGTCACAGCCAGGATCTACCCCAGTCCGAAAAACACAGTCAAACCCCCCCGGTCCGATATTTTCACGTCACAAAAAGTCAATAACAGCCATTTGGAAATTTTAAACTATCGTTTGGGTGATCTATTTTGATGAAAAAGCGTGAGAAAAAAGTTAAGTTTTCGTTTTCAGTGTCGTCGTGGCGGAGGAATTTTCTCTGTCATTTTTGTATTTCTGGTCGAGCCTGGTATGACTCAAAATTAACCCGTTCAATGATGTTTTTCTCTCTTTCTCCCCGCAAAGGCACGTTTTTCCCGTTAGGTCTTTTCACACCCACTCTTCGGCACTAGCTTTTCAACCTTTTTTTTTGTTAGCAGCCATTGAGAGAAAATGGGCGTCTGGAGCAAACGCGCTTTGCAGCCACAATCTCCAGGTTCAAAACTCAGAGTTTAGGCGAGAAAGATGTTAAAGGAAACTCCACAGGAGCAGCCACAGTCCGCAGTTAATGGGTGCTGATCTGCTGCAGGTTTTAGAGTTCTTATTAAAGAAGATTACTCGAATTAGAGCAATCTTTGTGAAGCTTTTTACAAAAGACATGACGTTTTTAATAAAAAAAAAGAAGCTTTTTCTGGTCAAATATGTGCTGAAATATGTTTGAATCAAACAAGCTGCATAATGCAACCGCTAAAATACAGAATGATCTTAATGTTTAAAGTGTGTTTTTACCTAATAAATGCAAATGGTTGGAATTTTAACTCTTTCTAAAGACGATCAAACTTTGAACTTTCCCTCCAGAGCAGACGAGGACACGGCTAAGCTCCCACACAAACCCCCAAAAACTAATTACCCTTTTAATCAGGCTGAGTGATCCAGGTGTAAATCACAGGCTCGTCGCCTGGGCCAGAGCGCGTCTCATCAGAGGGATTTGTTTGTCTTTGCACCCCATTAGGAAAACATTGCCAAGCCTCCCGCGGCTGGAAGGGGCCCTTTGTCCTCTATTCAACCCGGCTGAAAGGCCTGGAACCAGAGGAGAGCAAATTGATCTCCTCAGGGGTCCGTACTGACAATGCTTTTGTTGCCGTGGCCCGAGTCAAACTGTTGCCCTGCATGCGTCGCTGGCAGCCGGGTGTCACGTCTGGGGGAATGTCTGGTGTGTTGCCATGTCTTCCTTTATTACCTATTGTGTACACCTGGGGTTTATGTTTATGTTTATGCATTTGGCAGACGCTTTTATCCAAAGCGATTTATAAAGAAGACGCAATATTACATCTATCATCACTATGACAATAAGCTATATAGAGGAGAAACACTGATCAGAGTCAGTGGTGAGATAGAGATAGAGGTAGAGGTACTACAGAAGGAGCTGTGGGGGGTAGAGGTACGGGTTAGGGTTAGGATAGGAGCTGTGGGGGGGTAGAGGTACGGGTTAGGGTTAGGATAGGAGCTGTGGGA